CTGCTAAATTCAAGCAATCCACCCACCTCACTCAGCCTTTCAAAATGCTGGGATTACAGGCACGTGCCATGGCACCCAGCTGGGTGAGGAGCTATTCTTTGCATTGTAGAATCAATAAGCAGCATCCCTGACCCCCTGGGTGCTGGTAGCACCTCCAGTTATGACAATTAAAAGTGTCTTTAGATGTTGGCAAATGTTCCTTCGAGTGCAAAATTGCTCCAGGTTGGGAACCACTGCATAGTAGCAAAAGGCTCTCCCAAATAATGTTCAGGTATTGATTTTTTTCTACAAGATTCAGTAATTCTATTTCAAGAATTCTTCTTACCTAAAATTTGAATAAAATTGTGTTTTCTCATTCTCTTGTTCTGCAGTTTGAAGACATACATTAAAGAGTTTTAAAAGCAAACAGATGGTATGTGTCCCTAGCCTTCTCTATGGGCCTGAAAGAATCTGTGATGTCAAATGCCTCTACTTGGCTGAGCCAGTCAGGGTTTTTTTACCTGAGATTTGGTGCTGACACAGGCTAAGAGGTAGTAACACTCTTTCTTATCTTAAAACCTTATTGAGGCTCTCTGAAAAATAGCAAAACATCCTATTTGCAAATTATGGCTCATACCAACCTAGTGAGTCAAGCCAGACATGCATTATTACTCTGCCTGCACTTTAGAGACCCACAATGATCTTGCGGCTTTTCCATCCCACGGAGACTGAAATAGATCGCTATGTTCTTCAGCATCATATTTTAAAATGAGATAATTACGCTTGAGAGCTTTTGTCCATGCCTCTGAACTTATCTACCACTATCATTTTCAACAGGTGAAAAAGCCATTTTATTTTGTGTTTTTTTGATAGTAGATGTGGGAAAATATCACTGCAAGAGGCTGGTGAAATCTCTATTGGAGCTTCACAATGACGGGATATTCAAGTAATAGAAGATCAACCATAAGTTAAGAATATTAAGTGCAATCTAAAGCTAAAATGCGTGCTGTCCATTTGTTCATTCTACACATCCACTTCTATTTGACAGTTGTCAGTCAGGCAAGACCCAGAGGTACTCATCACCTCCAAGTCCCCTCCAAAGACAATTTTATCTGTCTTGATTTAGCATTAATTAAACAATTAGGAAATGACATGACTTTTGAGGAATAATATCAAGCAGATTATGCAACTGAGACAGAGGAATTAGTAGGTACACGTGTTTAGGGATATATTTTATATAAAATCTAAACAATGTCATTATAGATGAAAAGTGACCAGAAACCATTGTGCCATTTTAGCAGAAAATCAACCATTCGATGGTGAGCCAAGTCTCATGTGGCTTTTTGTGTTGCTTTATAATAGGGGCATAACAAAATATAGTGTTCTATTGAAAAACTGATAGTGTTAAGAAAATTAGGGCAGGGTCAACCGGCTCAGCACTGACAATCACCTATCTGTCTATCTAACTTGAGCAGTAAGTATGAATTGATATAATTTGTCAAATGCAAACTTTGTGCAGAGATTAGTATTATTAACCTTGTCTTAATGCCCTGAAATGACTACCATTGAATACACTAAAGCTTTACTCTCATTCTATCTAGGTTGAGCCTACCTCAAGAGTGATGGTATAAAAGAGGTGTCTGGTAACCCGACTGCTCCCTGAGCAGCCATCTTCCTTCCTCCCTCCTTACAATCTCATTGTGCACTTGACTCATTATTGTAGTTCAGCTTCAGCTGCTTCATATTTCTTGATTATCCTTCAGCTACCTTGTAATGACAGGAGTCTTGCCTATAAGCCCAGCACACTGGCCTGGAGTTTAGCCTGCTCTTCACTGCAGGGAATCACTTCTGCAGGAGATTTGATTTTCTTAGCCCTCACCTAATGTTGTTCCCCTCAGGCACTATCCGCAGCTGATGCTCCTGCATGCCTCATTTGAGACTAGCTGGTTGACGCAGGCGGATTGCCTACAGGCTGGAAGAAGAAATTAGAAGAGTAAAAGTAGCTTGTTCTACAAGTACCAGTGGAATTTTGCTACTAATTAGAGGTATATACCCTCTGGTAAGTTACATAAAAGCTCTGGTCTTATTACCTCATGAGTCAAAAAATAAAAATAAAAAAAGGGTTGATCTTTCAGGTGCATCATAGCTCTGTCATTTTTATGAAATATGATATTCTGCTTTAAAGTAACTTATAGATTAGGCCAGACAGGTGACTCATGCCTATAATCCTAGCACTGTGGGAAGCCAAGGCAAGAGGATTGCTTGAGGTCAGGAGTTCAAGACCAGACTGAGCACCATAT